GCCATTCTCTTTATGTCCTTTATGAGCTGGTATTCAAGTGAATTGAATATTGCGGGTAGTACTAAGATACTGTGCTACTTTAATAACTTCTTTGCCCAGTAGTGTGATGTTTTCAGTTATTGCCAAGACATGAAGAACCACCTTACTGTCAATAAGGAATTTTATGTTACCTTTGTATTTATTTAAGTTAACTTTTATTTGGGTGATTGCTTTGTATGTGGCCCATAGTTCAGCTTGCATAATGCTACAGTGTTTAGCAAGTTTTAATCTGGCCTGATATATTGTCTTATTATTGTTGTTTTGAATGCACACACCAGCTCCCACTCCGCACTTTTGCTTAGAACCATCTGTGCACACTATCCACTGAAAGTATCTGTTTGTTTCGGGATTATAATTGAAACTTATTTCGTAGCTGTGTATGTCTGCTGGGTGTAGTTGGAGGCATATATCATTACTAGTTCCATCAATTTCATATTTTTTAATATCAAGTATATTCCATTAGCTGTTTGGAATCATTTTATTTTTTAATACGTTTTTCAATATTTTCCTGTGTGTAACTGTGTAGCTGAATATTAGTGCAGAGCCAATTCCAAACTGTTTTTCTTGCCGTGATATGTATTGGCATTAGTCCAGCCGGTACCAGTATTGCATCTGTCGAAACTGTTCGATAAGCGAGAGTGATCCTTATTGCTGCTCTTCTCTGTATCGACAGTAGTTTTTTGCAAACGTGTGTTGTTAAGTGCATCTTGTCATACAGGGACAGTGTATAAAATAGCTGGCTCAATTGCCATCTTATAAATTAATTTGCTGTTTGTAAAGTTTAATCCCCAGTGTTTTCCAATAATCCAATTGAGGAGGTTAGCTCTTTGACTCGTTTTCTTGCTAATTTCCTCCACATCATGGTGCCAACTGAGCTTTGGGTCAAAGAATATTCCAAGGTATTTCAAAACTTTTACCTGTTTAATTCTGTTATTATCCATACGAAGTTTAAGGGTTTTTTGTAACTCCATGTTAGTTTTTTTGAGTACACACCATTGCTTCACACTTTGCATAGTTAATTGGGAGCATCTGTTCCTTGCTCCATTGCAGTATTTCGTGAAGTGTTCCATTAGCTTCATCGGTCAGTTTATCGCAATTTTTATTTGCTATCATTATAAGTAAGTCATCAACAAAAGCTTGGACCTTTAGATCATTGCAATGGTCAAAATTCATCAGTAGTTTATCGAACACCAAATTCCATAGCCTTGAGCCACTACAGGAGCCCTGTGGGCAACCCCTGTTTATTGTTCTCCTTATATGGATGTAGTTGGAGTAAAACTCGATGAATCTTTCGTTTAAGTAACTATCTAATAATTTGTTGACACTTCTTGGATTGTTAACATCTTTGAGGAATTTTTTATGAGTGACCATCTTACGTGGTCCAAGGCTTTTTTGTAATCGATTGCTATTAATAAAGCATGCTTTTTTATCCTCCCATGCTTTGTATACAAATTCTTTAATGCTCAATGCAGCATGTATTATTGATTTGTTTGTTCTAAATCTGAATTGGTTATTAACAATAAAACCTAAGTTTGTACTTCTGTTTTATTTATTACATTATTTTTTAAATCTCCACTATCAGACTTACAAGTAAAAAAAATGTGCTATTTGCATAAAAATCCCATAATCAGCCTATAAATAACATTTTTTCACCTTTTTATATTTTTTAGTATGCTGGAAAAGTTGGAAGTGGCATGCATAATTATTTAATGCCAAGTCTGCAACCTGGCATAGTCCAAAAGATGATCCTGTAAAGTACTATTATTCATTATTCAACAGAACGATATGCCAGGAAGCTATTCGGGACTCTTGCCGTAACTTACGACCATTAACCTAACGGGTACTTTACGCAGGTTTGTGATTAATATGCCAGGCCTTAGTTATTTCTGGTGCATACGTAATTCATGTACAAGATCAGTAAGGAACTCAAAGATTTAATATTAACTCAATTAGGCACTATGTACAAATTAGTAAGAATCAAAACAATTTTTTCAATGAATAGAAACAAGTAACAAGACCCGACAAAATCAATTCAATCTACTTACTAGAACTTGTGAACTATTTCCCCTTGGAACTCAACAATATCAAACAATTAGAACTATATACAATGAATCTTAAAAACTATCATCCTATCCGTCACCTCAATACTAGGAACTTTTTCCTTTTATCCAACTTTCCTTTGGAATACTTGTATTGCTATCCTCAATACTTGCTTCCAATCTTGCTCTGGAATTAACCTGGATTGCTTTGTAATTCACCTCTGTCACTCACTGCCTGAAGCTCACCTTGCTTGTCTTCTCTGGTCGGGCTTGTTTTATACTCTGAGGTGATGTCACAATTATCTCTGGAACCACTCCCCTCATTTACATACTTATTCATCTAACAATAAATTTGCATATCTTTACCTGGGCAGCTTCATTCCTGACATTTCTCTACTTTGTGTGTGTGGAGTTCCTCCCCTTGTTCTGTGGAACTTTTTTAAACTTCCAATCTGGAAGCGCAAGTGTGCATTAGTTTCCCTACTATGCTTTGTCTAGTCTGTGAGTTGGTTTTTTTCCCGTCGTCTCTTTTTTGTTTTTTTCTTTACTAAGGTGAGTGGTGAGGGAACCTTTGTCCTAACTAAACATAAATCTTAAACAAAAATAGAATAAAACAAAACTAATAATAAAATAATAATAAAGCTTGGACTCAGTTCCTTACAACCCTAGGGGTAACATACGGTAGTTAATGAAACCATGGCCCAACACAACCTTACTCACTTGAACACCAGCACCTTCTGACCTATTTTTGTACCACTGGGGAAAGTTGGATTGACCTAATGTTAGTCAACAGTCACATTACCCTTAGGGTTGACCACTGTTACACCACCGACATAGATTCTGCCAGTGACTATAGGTCACTGGCAGAATATAGCTTCACCCAGTACTAGTAATACTAATAATCATAGTTTTCACTATATTTGTACTAACTGGCAATTATTCCGCAACACTTTCAATACCATTTGGGCTGGTACTCTTCACCACAGTCACTATGCTCGGGACAACTTAGACAATCTTGTCACCAGGCTTACAAATACAATCACTAACTCTTACGTTATTGCTTGCAAGGTCAAACACTGTAAATACGAAAAGTTTCTTGATGGACCACTGAGCTAGAAAACAAGAAAAAAGTAGTTAGGAGATTAAGGAGGCAATTTAGGATTGAATAGGACACGAACATTAAATTCATACTTAGAGACCAGTACAGGCAAGAACACTATGCTTACAAAATCCTTATATATAAAAACAAGAACTAACACTTGGAAGGATTTCTGTACCAACACTTGCAGTTGCAACCCCTGATTTGAACCATACTACTTAGCTTGTAAGGAAAAATTCCAGCTTCCCAATGGTTGCTACACCAACAACCCGGAAGAAACTATCACGCACATTCTCACCGCCCTTTACCCTTTGGATGCTCCACAGGAGGACGACAATACACAAGTCATCCGGAGTTCTACACACACTCCACCTAATACAGACAATTACCACAACTTCACCTACATAGAAGTTTCGAATGCCATCTGTTCCTCACAGATAACAAAGCCCCAGGTCTTGACAGCATGACCACTAGGTTGATAAAACACGCATTTGAGGCCAATCCTACAGTTTGTTATTCTCTTCAATATCTGCTTGATACTGGCCTTTTTCCTACTCAGTGGAAAAAGGCCAGTGTCAAATTGATTCTTAAACTCACCAGCAATAACACTTAACAAAAATACAGGCTGATCTGCCTTCTCCCAACTCTGAGAAAGTGTTAGACAGTCTAATGATTAATAGGATCACTTGGCATCTACGCAAGTGTGGAGCCCTGCTTCAGAATCAGTTTGACTTCTCTAAAAACAAAGGTATAGTAGATGCCATCCATCAGGTCATTAACTACATCCACCAGGCTAAACAAAATCAGCATATGGCAATTATCACTATTGACTTTAGAGGCGCTTTTGATCACGCCTGGTGTCCTTCTATCTTGCACACATTACACACTCATCACAGCCTTCAAAATCTTTACAAACTTTTTATTAATGGAAAAATTAAGACTATACAAAATAATTTTGTGTCCTTTTGCCTATTAACATCCTTTTAGTATATATACTAAAAGTAATATAGCAATTTAGTATATATACTATTCGGGCTTTGAGTTGTTGTTATTTACAATATACATTGTTAAGGAGCATGAATCATCATCATCATCATTTCTTCTAGTGCAGAATGAACCAATCTGGAATGCGAATTTGATTTGCAGAAAACAAAAAAATCACAGATAATATGTCCGATAAACACGCCAAATGATATAATGAGCTATGATTGTTGATGTTTATATGTAATATGTTTGAACACGAGTTTGGAAAAATGTATGATCACAAGCGACACTAAGATGCTAGCAGAACAAGTGCTAAACACAGACTGATGAAGCATGCACACAATCCTGGACTTCCCCTCTTTTCGTCACTCTTTAAGCAAGTCATTTTTTTACAATTTGTTTTGCTTATTATGCGAATTACTCGTTATGTGAGGTGTTCGTGAAGCGAGGTTCTGCTGTATTTACTTTTGCATTTTGTTTGTTTGTTTATGTACAATGGAGTTGAAAAAGCATTTGCTGTGTTCCATCTTAAGCTATTATTGTAGTAATAGAAAAAAAGAAAAAAATTTAATGTAGATCTCAAGAATACACAAATTATATTGCAAATCGGCTTTATTTCACAATGTACAGATTACTGTGACGAGAAAGGAATTCAATCCAACAATTGAAATAGTGCAATCATTATTTTGAGAAATGTTACAGCATATATTTGTAAGTTGATGATTGAAATAGAATTTTATATGTTTTTAAATTATAAAATTTTGTTAATCTGAATATTTAGAATCATAATTACATTAATTTTTTCATATTCTTATTAATAAAATTAAATACTTTTTTAGGATTCTGTATTAGAAAATTGTCTAAATGGTAAGACTGAATATATGGAGAACAGTGATGAAGAACTTGCAGAAATAGATTTTTCTACTGGAAATAAAGACACTTGCATTTTAGAAGTAAAGTCAAAAGTTTTTAATTTCTTAACTCAAATTGTCAAATTGTAAACATCTATAAACCCATTTTTAGATTAAAGTCAAACGAGTGCTTTTTTTCTTTTTTTTTTCTTTTTGGCCAATTCTTTTCTTCCAGAACATTTTAAATTAATTATTAAATTTATCAAGAGAAGGTATCTAATGCCTATCTCTATGCCAAATTACTTGAAATTTAATTAGTTGTTAGCATCATTAATATAGCTTGATGTAATTTTGCAATCGTTTGGCTTTAGACCAAATTTTTGTTGTTCAATATACAGATGATCATAATCAAAGAATTGGTGTTCAGATTTCTCTACAGAAAGAACTATTGAGCAAATCTTGACCAAAATGTGATGAAAATACTATTCCAAGCATCCAGTTCCATAGCTACAGGGATACTATGAGGTGGCTGTGGGAAGACCTCTAAAAAATATAACAGCCCTGAGCTCAGTAGTGCCTTATGCAGTATATATAATATATGCTTTTGCTTTCATCACATAACCTTAGTTACTTTGTTTTCAAGTGATTTGCAGCTAATACTGCTGCCTAGAAAAGAGAAAAATATCAGTCATTCATCACAAATGTATTATTTTTGTGTTGTGCTTGTTTTAATTTCGCTTTCCCAGCCATTTATATATAACAGAGGAAAAGTATGCTGACTGGTCAAAAAAATGATTCTAGAAGATTTGTACATTTATGGACTTGGTACCTTGAAATGTCAAGGAATGCAAAAAAATTGGTGATTTTTCTGTATGGGTGCGTGTGTGTGGGGGGAGGCACAATTTTGTTCTTCTTCTTTGAAGCTAAATAACTCCTGTGCTTGTTAAAAATTTCTGAAATTTTGCAGGGAGGTTTGTGTATTAGGGGGATTGATGCTATTAAATTTTGATGGTTAAAGGTTGAAGAGTGTATGGTTAAAAATAATATCATAACAAATGGTGCCACACATGCAATTTTAAATGTTGGTGGGGAAGTTAAGCAACTTGTTGGTGGATATTTTTATTGTGCATTCAACTCTTGTCCCTTGCATTATCAAATAATGTAAACCTATTTTTAAGATTTTTAAATTAATAATCATAATCTACACTAAACTTAGAAAAGTGGAAAATTAAAAGGATGAAGTTGAAAATGTTCACATAGGCAGTTTTACTAATACTAGGTCTATTTATAGACCTAGTATTAGTAAAAGTATTTATAGGTCTATACAATTTTTTCTGCTTGTCCATTTATTAATTCAGCCCTCACAATGATTTACTTCTAGCTATTGAAATGAAAATGTGCAATTTCAATTTTTGGAACAAAAGTTTTATTTTAAAATTTACTTGCTAAGGCAAAATTTAGTAATGTTTTGTTTAATTAAGTACAGGAATCCCTGGTAGAACAGTATTTGTATAACAGTTTTAAAACATGGTTTTAGAAATCCTCTGTACAAAATTTCACAGTTTTTAAGTGTAAACTTTGTTATTCTATATTTTTATTTATTCAAGTAAGCTTACCTGTTGTGTCAAATTTGCCCATGGATTTTAAAATATTGACATTTTCAAATTATTTTGTGCTGTTCATCAGGTTTACTTTAACAATAACGGATAATGCAATTTTTTTCCTTATGCTAACTTTCCTATCAACCAGGTGTCGTCATTGCATTCAGATGTTAGTCCTTAAAAACCCCTTTTGCCCATAACCCGAGATAACTCAGACTGCGTGTGACGCTGCGCAGTCCATAACCAGAGTTATCTCGGGCATAGGCTTAAAGCCTATGCCCGAATTAAAATAAAACTTTTAGGGCCTCAAAAAAAATGCCTTGACTTATAACTTTTCCAAAAAATGTATTGATCAGAATATATACATCGTTATCTATGATCTCTGCAAATTTCATGAATTATTTTTGCTGCAAAAATATTTTATGATGATTTATTAATTAGGTAATTAATTGCAGTATTGTTTTTTTTTATGGGTTTTTTTTTTNTTCAGTAAAATTTTTTAAAACGCTATTAATGTTTTTTGACATTAGCAGGTCTTTTTGTTTAGTAAAATTTTTTCCCCATACCTTCTTTTCAGTCCCCTCATAATTTAATAGCATAAAAATCGAAAAAATTGTGTTATATTTGAACAGATGCGGTAAGTTAGCTCCCCTCCTGCTTTAAACCAATATTCCCCTAAGGCGTATATGAGAACTACCCGGGTAAGCTGACACCAGCTGTTCTCAAGGTCAACCAGCTTGTAAACAATGTAGATTGCATGTGTAAAATTTCATGTCTTGTTAAATGAAAGAATAATAATCCTTGCAGCTATATTTTTCAAATAAAAGCATTTATTTTAAATTATTTTTATTTTTTTATATACTTTTTTGTAAAATCACTTTTTGGAGGGGTTTTTATTTTGCAGGAATTATTTCCCGGAAATTTTTTTGGATGTCAGATTTGCATTTGAGTGGAAATAATTATTTAATAGAAACAATCAATTTTTTATGGATTTCTGAGTGGCATTCAAAGCAAAACAAATGGGCTTAAAGAGTTAATTTTCTCAAAATATAGGATTTCCTCTGAGGAGTCTTTCACTTAACCCTTTTACTTAAGATTTTCTTATAAGTCTCTTACTCTGATATCACACTGTCTGGCTCTCATTGATGCTGAAAGGACCTAGAGCCTTCCTTGTACAAGTCTTGCCTCCTCGGTGTCCAGCCACAAAGTGACTCTAAAACAAATTCTTGCCCTTAGGACTTCTCACACACTGTTGTCTGTCACTCCACACCCTGGTCAAGAAGGGTTGGGTCCAAAAATTCTCAGAATATGGAAAACAAACGACACACAAGAAGAAAGGAATAGAGAAAAATTATTAACAAAAATAAGATATTAAATTAAATCTATACATAAAATATGGCATACTTTTACAATTTCTAGGGCCTCAAAAATAAAACTTTTAGGGCCTCAAAAAAAATGCCTTGACTTATAACTTTTCCAAAAAATGTATTGATCAGAATATATACATCGTATATATACATCAGTTTTTAAAGTAGTAGTTTGTTTTTTCTACATGTAAATATGATGATAACATTAATTGATTATAATTACAGTAGAGCGTCAATTATCTGAATGTCAATCAACCAAAACGTTGGTTAACCGAAAGCGTTCCAGTCGGACTGTGTTGTGCTGAATCAAACATTTTTTATACTAGATTAACTTCTAAACTATAATTTTTTTTGTTTATATATTTTTCAATATATTTATTTTGCTTGTACAAAACATAGAAATAATTTTTAACGATACAATAGCCACGATTATTATTATAAAAATTTTTGTTAGGCTTAACATCGACAAAAGTTCAATGCGAAATGACACACAATGGAGAAAAATTTAAACATGGGATATATTAATACAATTGTATAATATTATTGGGATTATATTATGTATATTATTTTTTTGTACATTTTTTTGTGTTTTGTATATTTTTTTGTACATAATCAGTTATTCGAAAAATCAATTTTCCGAACCACCCCATTTCCCAGTTGATTCGGATAATCGACATACTATTGTACTTGAAATGAGTTTTGTAGATTTTCAATATAAACTTTTTAATTTAGGTTGATGATGCAGAAGATATTGATATTATTGCTCTGCTAATGGATCCAAAACTACCCAAAGGATTTGAAATGTGTAACACTGAATCTCAACCTGGTGTAGATAATTTTGTCACTAATTTACAGGTGAAAAATTATTACTCTTATTAATATCTTTAAAAGCACGTATAGAATTTTTGAAATAATTATAACAGGTTAAGAAAATGTTTCAATTATTTATTTTAATATTCATAGTAACTACTTCATTGATTAAAGTGTGTGTGTGTGTGTTTGTGTTTATAATAATAAACACAAACACACAATATACAGTGAAACATATTTTAGAAAACAATCAAAAGAAAAGTTGTTGTTCAGATCATTCCAAAAGACAAAATAAATGTTTTGATAACACATCTTACAGTATTATCATAAACATAGGAAACACAATTATAATTATTTAACTCTTTTAGTGTCCATTGCTAGTGGAAAATGATCTTAAAATTAAAATGGATATAAAATTATTTACGTTCAACAATAGTACAAGAAAGGTTGACATAACTGTTTATATTATCGACTGAACAGAAAAATTTGATGATATTACAAATTGACTTATATAATGTTTCACTTTTCAATATATTCTTTAAAATTGCATTCATTATGTATTTGTCCTTATGTGAGAATAGTTTGTTTTGTTTTCTGTCTGAATTAAATAATTAATTACACATAATATAGTTTTTTGTATATTTTATTTTATTTCTATTTTCACATATTTATTAAAAAGCATTATTGCCTTTTTTTGTCGTTACTCAATTGGCAAGTACAAAAAAATAGCAACATAAACTTGGCTTGCATTGGGTGGAAGTTTTTGGTATGCTGGTCCTGGGCTGATGTCACAAATTTTGCAACAATCAGTATTTTAATGAATGCTTCCTATTCTGTTGATCAGCCAGCAGTAAAATGATGAAATATAAAATAAAAATTTAAAAATGAGCTTATTCAAAATTCTACAAACATTCATATTCTCACAACACACCCAGGACACTCTTGCAACATGACTAGAGAATCACTGCTCTAGTCTAGTCTATTGGTTTGGTGTTTTGGTGGAGATCAAATTGAATTAGCAGTAATTAATCGTTTAAACTTTTTCATTGCTGGATTTTAAAACATTTTCTAAACATTTATTTTTAATGTATTCAGTATAGCATAAACATTCAAACTAATAACAGGACTGCTTTATTTGGAGAGCTAATCAGCACTTTGTACATGTTCAGAACTTAACACTTTCAGAGCTGTGCACTATCCGCAAGGTTCAATATTCTGTAACCTTTACCACCGTCATCTTGTTTACGTTAATTTTGTAAACTGTTCGAAGACAGTATAGGTCAGTCAGGCAATATTATTTTAAAAATTCACCAAAAATCAAATTATAATTACTCATATGAAAAAAATTATGTACATTTATTATCTTTAGTTTTAAATACGATATTTTTCAATACATTTTATTAGAAAAATTTGTAGAAAAAAAATAATATATATCAGAACTGACATTTAAACTTGATAATTTGTAACTTTTTGTCAAAATTAACATTGCTTAGTTGGCAATGAGCCAGAAAGACGTAGAACATTGTTCTGTACAACTCTATATAACACTTATGCATGTACGTTTATTCATTGTGAAGTTATCACACATTATATCAAACATTTGTTTGAAATTAAAACTTTATTGTGCTTTCAACTAACATAATGAACTAATATACTTTATTCACTTCATATCGAACAAGAATATAAATTTTTGTAATAAACATATGATTATCAGTAGTAATACATGCAATGTTCTCTCTAATTTTTTTTGTCGATGAGTGGAACATATACTTCTCTGAGCAAAAAATATTTTTGCTGAGCATATATATAAAATCTTATTTTTTCCTATAAAAATTAAAATAATTAATTATAAAGTAGAGATTAAAATTCATTTTAAAACATACTTTTATACAAAATATTATTTCTTGTCAAAGATTTAATGTATTTAATTGAAATATAAGTAGCAATAATCATGTTGCAGACAGAGTGAGAAATAAGTAAACAACAATTCAAATCGGTGTGCATGCTCATACATAAATTCTTGTGCGCGGCAACAATTTGAGCAGTGCGCAGCCGTGCAGCTTAGAGGGAACATTGTATACATGTAATATTTGCTGATATTTTAAATTAAAATAAAAAATATATAAAATGTCAGAACTGAAGGTCACAACTTGAACATTTATAACACATTGACTTATTATAGCTAAATGAACTTATTATAGTTATATTACTACATGAATATGCTAAAAATGAAATAAAAAATTATCATGAAAAAAATTAATTAAGAAAAAAAAAACATTAATTAAAATTTTTTAAGTCAACAAAACACCACCTGGAGAAAAATATATGAAACAGACGATAGACCAAACGTTGCCGTCAAGTGCTGACATCTGTTGTGGATAAATTTTACAAAAATCGATTTTTACTAGGGTAATGACAAATTGGTATTCTAGAAAGTTTTGCTTAACAATGGGGGGTACCGATCGATCGGTACCATCGGAAACAAACAAAGGTTTAAAAACAGTGTTTATAGACTAGTCTAAAACCAGTTAGTACTGGGTCTAATGTCAAATCACAAAAATCAAAATCAAATACCCTTGAAACATTCAAATATTTTTAACCAATAAAAAAATGATACAAATTAAATATTTTAAGCTGACAAACTCATTTCAATGTGAAACTTTTAAAGTCCTCTCAGATAACTATAAATCTTCTAATGTTACACTTGCAGTTTTTAACTGCTGATATTCAGACACTAAAGTCACTTTTGTATGCAGGAGAAACCTTTAATTACTGACGTTTTTGGTTTTATCTAAAGGACCATCTTGATGTAAATACAAATAGAACAAAGTGTGAAATGGAATGTTTAGGTACAATAGCAGAAAAATATTCTGGAACATGGAATGCAAGACAGTTTAAATTTCAAAATTAAAATAATAAGGATAAAAATACAAAATGAATACATAGATAAATGATAAAAATATGTAAAAACAGGAAAATGTACATAATGATAAAACAAATGTAATTGTTTGGAAGTTCCATATTGAAATTGTCAGCTTAGAATATTTCATTTGTATTGTTTTTTTTATTGTTTGAAAATGTTTGAATGTTTCAAGGATGTTTGATTGTGATTTTTTTTTGTGATTTGACATTACATCCAGTACTAACTGGTTTTAGACTGGTCTATAAAGATTGATTTTAAAGAATATTGAACCTTGAGGATAGTGCTTGGCTCTGAACATGTACAGAATGCTAATGTGTAAGTTTTCCAAATAAAGCACTCCTGTTATTAGTTGAGTATTTAGTAGAATAATTTATAGCGCAAACTTTTATTTTTTTTCATATTTATTTTTTAGATGTTTACAAGAATCTACAGGACAAAATTTCCACCTGGAAACTATACAAGTAGACAATTTTCACAGCTATTTGAAACAATAATTCAGGTATTAATGTTTTGATTTAATAATTTGAAATGAATATTGCTGTTTACATTAAACAGTTGGTTAAAAAAATTCTGTTGCTTTCTCTTGTATAGAAAGACATGTAAAAGTTGATGTTGTTTAGTGAGATAGGAAAGTTAGTCATTGCACAAAGTAATACAGTTTTATCAAATGTACAGTGGTACCTCAGGATACGAAATTAATCCATTTTAAAACTGAGGTCGTATCATGAAAATGTCGTAAGGTGAATCATTTTTCCCCATATGATTACATGTAAAACGAAATAATTCGTTCCAACACGAAAAACACACTCAAATTAAAGTTAAGTAGTACATTAAAAAAATAACTATAGTAAGGAAAACACTGAAAATGCGTTTTGTAGTTGTAAACGTATAATTAACCATAATAGAATAATAATTGATTAAAAAAATGTAGTTTTATTTGCACTTTACCTTCAAGGATAGACGATGGTGGAGGTATAAATTGGTGGCAGAAGAGAGGGAGAAGGGAAATGATACTAAAACTTAACTTACATAACATAACATAATGTAACAATAACTTAAAAGTAACTTAGAAAAGATAAAAAAATTAGTGTTGTTTTATATACTTTTTGTTTTAATTTTTATTCACTGCTTTTTGCTTTCTTTCCTTCACTTCCACCAGCACTTTCACTAGATAGAGGTCTCTTGGTAAAATATCTATTCAAAGAGGCCTGCATTTTAAAATGTTTCTAAAATGACTTAGGCAAATGTCGTTACTCCAAGCGGCAATACGGCCAGTGTGAATCTTTTCGGGATGTTTCTTTTCAATAAAATCAGTCACTTTCTGATAATAGCTCAAGGTTTCCTTTATCGAGTGAGATCCTTCCACGACGAAGCAAACACGGGACCAAGATCAATGAACAGAAGTGAATAAAAAATGGCACTGCGAACTAATGTAACGTCATATGGTGAGTTTTTGTTTGTATCGATGAGCAAAAATATGTTCTAATTTCATGTCGTATCCTGAAAATTTCATATGCTGGGGCGTTCGTATCCTGAGGTACCACTGTATCTCATAATATAATAGTACTATGCTGGATGAACAATATATTTCTAAATGAGAATGTGGTTTGATTACTTAACATTTTAGAAATGATAAGTACTGTAATTTCCTGCATATAATTTACTGGGTATTTACCTGCATTGGTTTATAACTTGCTGAAAATTTTTAATATGAAATTAAAAATAATGCATAACTATGCATCACACACTCAATGCCTTTAAACTTCTTATTGAAAACATGTCACTTATCTCTTACACAATTTAGAAAGCATCATCTCAGGCCTTGTCTTTTTACATATTGTTCTATTGAGTTGGTCAAAATGTTCATTTAGTTTTTCCATAAGATGGTTCTGATAGCACATAGTTATCTTCAACTTCATTCAAAACAATTCTGTTAGACTGTATTGTGACAGCTGTCATAGTGTGAATTTTAAGAAAAGTTTATGAAAATTGTTGAATTTTTGTTTTGTTATTTTAACATTGAAGATAGAAGAAAACAAGTAATGTTTTTGGCATATTATGCTTTATTATTTCAAGAAAAGAAAAATTCAACTGAAAAACAAACAACAAAGATTTGTGCAGTATACGGTGAAGGTGCTGGGACTGATTGAACTTGTCAAAAGTGGATTGTGAAATTTTGTGCTGGAAATTTCTCACTGGAACATGTTCCATGATTGGGTAGATCAGTTGAAGTTGATAGCAAACAGATCAAGACGTTAATTGAGAACGATCAATGTTATACTATGCAAGAGATAGACAATATATTTAAAATATTGAAATAAAGTATTGAAAGTCATCTGCACCAACTTAGTTATGTTAATTTCTTTGATGTTTGGATTCCATTTAAGCTAAGTGAAAAAAACCACCTTGATTGTATTTCCACATGCAATTCTTTACTTAAACACAACAAAAACATTTCATTTTTAAAACAAATTATGACAGGTGATGAGAAGTAGATAATTTAGAATAATGTGTGGAATGGGAGAGATCACAGCGCAAGTAAAATGAATTACCATCGACCATACTAAAGGCTAGTCTTCACACAAAGATGATGATGTGTACATAGTGGGACTGGAAGCGAGTCCTTTATTATGAGCTCCGCCTGGAAAAGTAAACGATTAGTTTTAACAAGTATTGCTCTCAATTAGACCAACTAAAAGTAGCACTTGACAAAAAGAATCTGGGATTAGTCAACAGGAAACAATCTTCCTTTAGAATTACCTAAGACTGTATGTTTCTTTGATGAACAGACAAAAATTGTTAGAGCTTGATTGGTAAGTTTTGATTCATTCAATGTATTCACTAGACCTTTGGATTTTTATTTATTTCACTCTATAAAATTCTCTGAATAGAAAAAATTTCAGTTTTCTAGAAGACTATAAAAGGCACCTGGAACAGTTCTTTGTTCAAGAAAAAAGTTTTGAAAGATGGAATTCTGAAGGCGTCTGAAAGATGACAGAAGATAATAGAACAAACTTGGTGGTGAATGCATTGGTTAATAAAGTTATTTGTGAAAATGAAAATGTGTTTTTTATTTTTATTTAAAAACCAAACAAACTTTTTAGCCAACACAGTAGTATTATAGACAGACAGGTGAAATTAAATTACATCAGTAACATTGCATCACATTTTATTTTAGATACATTTTAGCAGAAAGGGGATGAAGACTCGGAACTACCCATGGGTATTGCCCGAGGGTGAAGATTAAAGAAAAGTAGTAGTAGAGTAGAGATGAAGGTGAAATAAAAGTGAGATAGGAAAGATGATGAAATGGGAGATTCATGGTGTCTGCGTCGGCTTTTATTTTCAAAATAAAAAGTGTAGTTTTTACAAAATGATGCAATATGTACAAATTTACTCCTTAGCTTAAGGAGTAATAAAGAGTTACAGAAAGATAACAATGATGTTACATTGTANAAGCATTTATTTTAAATTATTTTTATTTTTTTATATACTTTTTTGTAAAATCACTTTTTGGAGGGGTTTTTATTTTGCAGGAATTATTTCCCGGAAATTTTTTTGGATGTCAGATTTGCATTTGAGTGGAAATAATTATTTAATAGAAACAATCAATTTTTTATGGATTTCTGAGTGGCATTCAAAGCAAAACAAATGGGCTTAAAGAGTTAATTTTCTCAAAATATAGGATTTCCTCTGAGGAGTCTTTCACTTAACCCTTTTACTTAAGATTTTCTTATAAGTCTCTTACTCTGATATCACACTGTCTGGCTCTCATTGATGCTGAAAGGACCTAGAGCCTTCCTTGTACAAGTCTTGCCTCCTCGGTGTCCAGCCACAAAGTGACTCTAAAACAAATTCTTGCCCTTAGGACTTCTCACACACTGTTGTCTGTCACTCCACACCCTGGTCAAGAAGGGTTGGGTCCAAAAATTCTCAGAATATGGAAAACAAACGACACACAAGAAGAAAGGAATAGAGAAAAATTATTAACAAAAATAAGATATTAAATTAAATCTATACATAAAATATGGCATACTTTTACAATTTCTAGGGCCTCAAAAATAAAACTTTTAGGGCCTCAAAAAAAATGCCTTGACTTATAACTTTTCCAAAAAATGTATTGATCAGAATATATACATCGTATATATACATCAGTTTTTAAAGTAGTAGTTTGTTTTTTCTACATGTAAATATGATGATAACATTAATTGATTATAATTACAGTAGAGCGTCAATTATCTGAATGTCAATCAACCAAAACGTTGGTTAACCGAAAGCGTTCCAGTCGGACTGTGTTGTGCTGAATCAAACATTTTTTATACTAGATTAACTTCTAAACTATAATTTTTTTTGTTTATATATTTTTCAATATATTTATTTTGCTTGTACAAAACATAGAAATAATTTTTAACGATACAATAGCCACGATTATTATTATAAAAATTTTTGTTAGGCTTAACATCGACAAAAGTTCAATGCGAAATGACACACAATGGAGAAAAATTTAAACATGGGATATATTAATACAATTGTATAATATTATTGGGATTATATTATGTATATTATTTTTTTGTACATTTTTTTGTGTTTTGTATATTTTTTTGTACATAATCAGTTATTCGAAAAATCAATTTTCCGAACCACCCCATTTCCCAGTTGATTCGGATAATCGACATACTATTGTACTTGAAATGAGTTTTGTAGATTTTCAATATAAACTTTTTAATTTAGGTTGATGATGCAGAAGATATTGATATTATTGCTCTGCTAATGGATCCAAAACTACCCAAAGGATTTGAAATGTGTAACACTGAATCTCAACCTGGTGTAGATAATTTTGTCACTAATTTACAGGTGAAAAATTATTACTCTTATTATCTTTAAAAGCACGTATAGAATTTTTGAAATAATTATAACAGGTTAAGAAAATGTTTCAATTATTTATTTTAATATTCATAGTAACTACTTCATTGATTAAAGTGTGTGTGTGTGTGTTTGTGTTTATAATAATAAACACAAACACACAATATACAGTGAAACATATTTTAGAAAACAATCAAAAGAAAAGTTGTTGTTCAGATCATTCCAAAAGACAAAATAAATGTTTTGATAACACATCTTACAGTATTATCATAAACATAGGAAACACAATTATAATTATTTAACTCTTTTAGTGTCCATTGCTAGTGGAAAATGATCTTAAAATTAAAATGGATATAAAATTATTTACGTTCAACAATAGTACAAGAAAGGTTGACATAACTGTTTATATTATCGACTGAACAGAAAAATTTGATGATATTACAAATTGACTTATATAATGTTTCACTTTTCAATATATTCTTTAAAATTGCATTCATTATGTATTTGTCCTTATGTGAGAATAGTTTGTTTTGTTTTCTGTCTGAATTAAATAATTAATTACACATAATATAGTTTTTTGTATATTTTATTTTATTTCTATTTTCACATATTTATTAAAAAGCATTATTGCCTTTT